GGGGTAGGTGCTCGTTGCTATGGCGACCTTGCTACGGCCCCCCACGGCAGAGTGGACGGGGCTAGGAGCGGGGGGCGGAGCTGTCTGTTTCACGTGGTACTGGCCACGCGCCTTTCCCGATCTTTCTCCGTCCGCGGCCGCTTTGGCGCATTGCGGGTCAGCGGCAACCAATCAGGGCGGCGCTCTCAGCCCGCCGCGCCTCCCTAGCCAATGAGGCAGCGGCGCACAGCGAACGAGAGGGATCCTTCCGCCGGGGGCGGGCCCTGACAGGGGCATGGCCTGCGAAAGGGGCGGGGCCAGCGGAGGGATCGGCGGGTCTGCGGTTGCAGGAGCGCGTGTCCGCCAGAGGAGCGCCATGGTCAGGGGACGGCACTGGGGTTGCCACGGCGACGGGAGGGGCGCTGTGGGGCAGGGGGGGCCCACCGGCGTTGCTCTGGCGACTAAGGGGCTGCTACGGGGGTGGGGGAACCCACCGGCGTTGCTGTGGCGACCAAGGTGCTGCTATGGGGCGGGGGAGAGAGGCATTGAGGTTGCTTTGGCGACCAAAGGGTTGCTGGGGGAGGTGTCACTGGGTTGCTATGTCAGCACGTCACTGGTGGTTTGGCGGAGGCCTATGGGTGCTGGGGGCATGTTGGGATTTTGGGGGGCTATGTGTGCTATGCGGGTGTTGGGGGTTTGGGGGGGGCTGTGGGTGCCAGTGGGTGTCGGGGGGTATCCCATGGGTACCCCCTCACCCTTGTCTCCCCCCCCCAGGCTGACCAGCTCACTGAGGAGCAGATTGCAGGTGGGGGGAAGGCAGGGGGTGACAGCAGGGTGAGGGGACCCCAGAGGGGACCCTGGGTGGGAAAACACTTGGGGGGGCACTGGGGAGTGGGGGAACACTGGGGGGAAGGGGGGTTGGACCATGGGGGGTCACTGGGTTAGGGGGACACACCAGGGTGGAGGGGTGACACTGGTGTGTCAGGGTGACAGCGGGACACCGTGGAGGGGACATAGGGGTGCTGGGGTGACAGTGGGGCACTCTGGAGGAGATATTGAGGTGTCAGGATTGACAGTGGGATACCCAGGAGGGGACATTGGGCTGTCGGGGTGACAGCGGGACACCCAAGAGGGGCCACTGGTGTGTCAGGGGAGTAGCACCAGGGCACGCAGGAGGGGACGCTGGCCATCAGGGTGACCTGGCGGTGCAGCTGGTGCCACCCATGGACCCCCTGGCTGTCCCCGGCCCCTGCTGGTGACAGCATGTGACCCCGTCCCCGTGGTGACGGTTCCCAGAGTTCAAGGAGGCGTTCTCGCTCTTCGACAAGGATGGGGATGGCACCATCACCACCAAGGAGCTGGGCACTGTCATGCGCTCACTGGGCCAGAACCCTACTGAGGCTGAGCTGCAGGACATGATCAATGAGGTGGATGCTGATGGTGAGCCCCGCCTGTCCCTGTGTGTCCGCTTGTTCCTCTGTCCCCCTGCTCACTGTCCCTTCGTCCCACCCCCAGGCAACGGCACCATCGACTTCCCCGAGTTCCTCACCATGATGGCGAGGAAGATGAAGGATACGGATAGTGAGGAGGAGATCCGTGAGGCTTTCCGTGTCTTTGACAAGGTGGGTCAGGGACAGGGATGGGGACAGGGGAATGGGCGAGGCAACGGTGTCATCACCGTGTTCCCAACCCCAGGATGGGAATGGGTACATCAGCGCAGCGGAGCTGCGGCACGTGATGACCAACCTGGGGGAGAAGCTGACGGATGAGGAAGTGGATGAGATGATCCGAGAGGCTGACATCGACGGCGATGGGCAGGTCAACTATGAGGGTGAGTGCCACTGTCACCCCAGGGGTCCCCACTGTCACTCGGTGTCTCCTCTGTCAGCCACAGGTCCTTGCTGGCACCCAATGGGACCCTGCTGGCATCCACCCACGGGGCTTCTCATTCCCTAGTGCTGCACTGCGTTCCCCATCATCTTTAGCTTGGGGTACCACTGTGTCCCCTGTCACCCCTGGCAAGAACCTTGTGTTGGGGACAGGGACAGAAATGGGCATGGGGACAATATCCACGTCTCTTATCACCCCTCTTGCCATGAACATGGGATCCCACTACATTCCCTCATCCCCAAGGGGCCAGACGCATCGTGTCGCCTCTTTCTGGGGACCCCACTGAGTCCCCTGTCCCTGCTCTGTCCCCCCATCCCCACTGGCTCTGCAGTATCCCCCTGTCCCCATTCCTGCCCCCAGTGCGTTCCCTGTCCCTGTCAAGTCCCCGTCCATGTTCTGTCCCCATTCTGTCTTCATCCCCATCGTGTCCCTGTCCCCACTGACCCTTTCTCTCTCCTGGCAGAGTTTGTGCAGATGATGACGGCGAAGTGAGAGGGCATGAGGCCACCGAGAACCCCCCTGCTGCCTCTGCCTGTCCCTGCCACCAAGAGGTCCCCGGGTTCCCCCTGCACCCCAAACCCCCCATTTGGGGGCACCCATGGGGGTGCTGGGAGGGGGAATCCCACCAGGACAAAGGGACCCCAAACCTTCTATAGGGGCTTTGGGGGAGGGTGTGGGGGGACCTTATTTCCTCATAGAGGGTTTGGAGGGGTCCAGGGCAGATTCAGGGTCCCCCTCCACAGCAGGACCCCCTTTGCCCCAGGAGAGTGTTTTGGGGCATTTCAGGGGGATTTGGGGTCTCAGGAGGGTTGGGGATCCCTGGGTGTGGGGAACTGGGACCAGGCCCTGGTTTGGGGGCATTTGGGGCCCTTTTTTGGGGGGGGGGGGCGGGCACACCAAGCTCCATTTTTGGGCATTTGGGGAGAATTTTGGGCCTTGGTGGGAGTGGGACCAGGCTCTGGTTTTGGTGCATTTTGGGGAAGAATTCGGGGGGCTACAGGCCCCCCGCTCCCCTGTCCGGGCGCTGTTGCGGGCGGCCAAAGCTGTGAAATAAACCGCTGGTTTTACAGTTCCTGCAGCCTTAACGAGGCGCTGTAACAAGGGCCCCTAATGAAGGTCCTGATGCCGGTGGCACCCCCCACACAGGGGGTGAGGGTGGGTTTGGGGGTGCTGGGGCGGTGCGATGGTGCATGGTTGTGCAGGTTTGGGGGTGTTCATTCATGTCGGAGTGTAGTTGGGTGCAGTTGGGGTGTACGGGTGTAGCTGGGGTGTAGTTGGGACACAGAGGTGTGTTTGAGGTGCAGTTGGGTGTACTCAGTGCAGTTGGGGTGTATGGGTGTAGTTGGGGCACAGGGTTGTGTTTGGGGTACAGTCGGGTGTACTTGGGGTGCAGTTAGGGTGTGTGGGTGTAGTTGGACACAGGACTGCGGTTGGGGTGCAGTTGGGGTGTATGGGTGTCATTGGGGTGTACTTTGGACTGTAGTAGGGCTATAGGTGCGCAGCTGGGATTTATGGAAGCAGGTGGGATGTAGCTGGGGTGCTGCGGTATAGCTGGAGTGCAGTTGGGGTGTAGCTGAGGTGCACTGGTTGTGTCTATCTGATGTTTCGGGATGGGCTGTTGGGGTGCGTGTGAGGTGGTGTTGGTGTCTGTGTGTGGGTTATTGGGGCATCGGTGTCCCAGGGTCCCCCCAGAGCCAATGCTGGAGAGCAGAGCTCCTGGGCGGTGGGGGACGCAACCCCACCCATGGGTGTTTCTCTGCTGATTCCACCCAAACACCAGGGTTCCCTACAAATCCACCGCCCCAACACCTGGATCCTCTTCTGGTCCTTCAGGGTCCCTCCTGGTATCTGGAGGGATCTGTAGAGGATCAGGATGTTCAGGGGTGGGTCTGTAGAGGACTCGGGTGTCTGAGAGCATCTGGTGCTTTGGAACCTTAACCCCCTGCCAAAAAAACCTCATCACAATCAAAACCATCATTTAATTCACTGGAGGAAGTTCCCAGCTGCTGCGGTGTGGCTGAGTGCGGTCGCACTTCTGCTTGCCTGGAGCCAAATATGGCTGTGGTGTTGGGTGAAACGGAAACGGGCTGCACTTTGGAGAGAAAAGTGGTGAAATCAGGCTGGCTGTGTTGATGCGCATTCTGGGATCTGCTCCCTTCCCTGTTAGGATGTGATATTACCTGCCCTGTGCAGGAAACCACTGATCAGCCTGGGATGAGTCCTGGGACAAAGGAGGGAATGATCCTCTTAGTTGCTTTGGTGGCTTTCTCTGCCCTTCAACCACCCAAGGTTCAACCCTTTCCCAAGGTTCAACAACTGAAGGTTCAACCACCGAAGGTTACGCCATTGAAGGTTCAACCCTGTCCCAGGGTTCAACCACTGAAGGTTCAGCCACTGAAGGTTCAACCATCTTCCAGGGTGTAACCACTGAAGGTTCAACCCTTTCCCAGAGTTTGACCACTCAAGGTTCAACCCTCTCCCAGCGTTCAACCACTGAAGGTCCAACCACTGAAGATTCAACCATTGAAGGTTCAACCCTCTCTGAACGTTCGACCACTGAAGGTTCAATGCTCTCGCAGTGTTCAGCCCCTGAAGGTTCAACCCCTGAAGCTTCAACCCTGTCCCAAGGTTCAACCCCTGAAACTTCAACCCTTTCCCAAGGTTCAGCCACTGAAGGTTCAACTGTCTCCACAGTTTCAACCATCAATTGAAGACTCCATCACTGGAGATTCAACTATTGAAGGTTCAACCCTCTCTGAATGTTCAACCACTGAAGGTTCACCCCTCTCCAGAGTTTCAACCACTGAAGGTTCAACCACTGGAGGTTGAACCCTATTCCAGCATTCAACCAGTGAAGGTTCGACCACTCAGGAAGGTTCAGCCCTCTCCCAGGGTTCATCCCTCTCACAGGGTTCAACCACCGAAGGTTCAACCCTCTCCCACGTTACGTCGACTGAAGCTTCAACCCTCTCCCAGCGTTCGCCCACGGAAAGTTGAACCACTGAAGATTCAATACTCTCGCAAGGTTCAACCCCTGAAGGTTCAACTTCTCAAGGTTCAACCCTCTCCCAAGTTTCAGCCAGTGAAGGTTCAACCCTTTCCCAGAGTTTGACCACTCAAGGTTCAACCCTCTCCCAAGGTTCAACCACTGAAGGTCCAACCATTGAAGGTACAACCCTCTCTGAATGTTCGACCACTGAAGGTTCAACGCTCTCGCAGTGTTTAGCCACTGAAGGTTCAACCCCTGAAACTTCAACCCTTTCCCAAGGTTCAGCCACTGAAGGGTCAACCACTCAACGTTCAACCCTCTCCCAACGTTCAACCGCTGAAGATTCAATCACTGAAGGTTCAACCACTGAAGGTTCAACCCCTGAAGGTTCAACTTCTCAAGGTTCAACCCTCTCCCAAGATTCAATCACTGAAGGTTCAACCACTGGAGGTTGAACCCTATTCCAGCATTCAACCAGTGAAGGTTCAACCCTCTCCCAGGGTTCAGCCACTGAAGATTCAATCACTGAAGGTTCAACCCTCTCCCAAGGTTCAACCCCTGAAGCTTCATCCCTCTCCCAAGGTTCAAGCCCTGAAGCTTCAACCCTCTCCCAAGGTTCAACCACTGAACGTTCAACTGTCAAGGCAGACAGGGCAGGGCAAAGTTACTCTTTTGGGGATACCCTCAGTGACTCCATTGCTTTCTCTTTCTCCACAGAAGGATTTTTTACATCTTTTCCCCTTTTCTCCTTGATTGCCCTTTGAAATTGGCCAAATTCACTGTTCCCCACAAGGGATGAAGGGTTGGGAGTTGCCTTTCCCACAAAGTCCTACAAAAGGAGAGACATCAGATTAGGTGTAAGGCAGACGGAAAACCAAAGAATTTTGAAAATGATTCACTGCAACATTTCAATGGCTAAATAGAAAATTTCCTTGGCCCACAAAGTGGGAAAATTGGAGTTTTCCTGGAAAAAAAGGAAGTCCGTACTATGTGCACTGGGATGTGAAACGACATTTTTGTGGGTCATACTCATACGGTGTTTCTGGAATCATTGGTTCCACCTGCTGTGGCCACTAGTATGTAAATAAAAAAAAAATCGCCCAAATTGACTGTTTTAGACCAAAGCAAGACCAGTGATGTATGATGTCCTCAAGACAGTTGGCCTTCAGTTCTTTTTTTTCCAGCAAAGTGAAGTACCTCATCCCTCTGTCGCGCTTTCCCGTCACGACAATCCAGGAGAAATGACGCATCGCCAGGGACTCACCTTGGGGAGAAACAGACCAATATAGATACTGTGGATCAAGCGATTTCTCCGTTTATTTGCTGTGTAACATTCAGTTATATACCATAACCATGCGCAAGCCATCTACTGATTGGTTAACATGTGCTGTTCACGCGCCTAAAGCAATAGTTTGATTGGATAAGGTCTTCTGATCACGCAAATGATTCCTCCTGTCTGTGTCTTGCCTGGTGTCCTGCTTTCAGTCACGTAGGCCCAACTTGTTCAGCTTTTTGTGCTTATTTCATCAAACTTTGTAGCCTTCACTACGTCCTTGAGGCCTGCTGCTTGCAGAGGCCTCTGGCTCACAGATTGAACAGTCCCATTGTGTCTCTCGTTCACTATGTGTCTACTTTTCTAATTATCCCACATCCCTCCATTGCTCCTGGTTTTCTCTCCTTTTTTTTCTTCTTTTCCACTTCAGCCATTTCTGTTTTTCCCATCGTTTCGAGCCAAAACGTTGGGAGGTCCTGCAGGTGCCACTGTGTGGTTTGGTAGCACGTTTTCTGCAGAGACACGCAAATGCAATCTGGTTTTGAGGTGATTTTTTGCTGGTCGAAGTAGAATGGAAATGTGTTTTTGCTGATCTGTGGTCTTGGTAGCCCACGGGCTTCAACAGAAACTTTTCATCATCTTCTCGATAACGGTGAACATGAGGAGCAATGTCAAAATACAGTGTTATTACAGTGTTTGTGAGAATGTCAGCTTAAATAGTAAATTATAACAACGAGTAGCTTGCAGCATTTAAAGGAGAATCCCAAAGAATGAATTTAATATTCAGAGATACATTAAGGGCTGCAGAATTGAGTTATGGAAAATTGCTTTTTTTAGTGTCTTAGTGCCAACAAACCACATTGTGTACCTTAAACACTCTGCTGGGATGTTCAGTGCTAGGCAGTGGGGTTGGAGGACCACCTGGAGGACTTGGTTCTTCTTCTTGCCTGGCAAAGCTGCCAAATTTGAGCTACAATCAAGTAAAATTCATTGTACAAATTTGGGTCTCAGCTAGAGTGAAACAGAAGAGGACATGCATAAGTGACGCAGCGGGTCGGTGGGTGATGGGAAAGTCTCGGTGGCTTCTAGACCTGCAGGCTATGTTGCTGCATAGTTGTCATCCCATGGGGTTTGTCATATGAGGGTTGATATGGGCCCTCTGCAGAGAACTTCAAAGAACCCTGAGATACCCTCAGCAGCAGATGCTTTGAAGGCAGAGTAGTTCCTCTGGGGCACCAAAATCAATGAGGAGATGGTGTCATCCCAAAACAGAGCCTGGCTTCTGGTTGCCCCACAGTCAGTTGCAGAAGTGATCAGTCATGGTTATGGTCATGAATATAGTCATGCA